CTGTGCTCTATACTAGGCCTTTGTTGTTTTTCTGTTTTATATACAGTAATGTGTATCCATTAATTCCAAACTCCTAGTTTATCCTTCCCCCAAAGTTTCTCCTTTGGTAACCATAGTTTGTTTTCTAAGTCTGTGAGACTGTTTTGTAAATAAGTTCATTTGTATCATTTTTTATTTCCACATATAAGTGACATCATATGATATTTGTCTTTGCCTGATTTCCTTCACTTAGTGTGATAATCTCTAGGTCCATGCATGTTGCACCAGCAAACCATTCTTGATTACACAGGAAGAGTTTTAACACTCTGTATTCTCTATGAAACAGAGACCAAACACTGGATTTTTTTGGTGAATTTGCTACACTGTCCTTTCAAAGGCAGCTTCAGTAGGGAACAAAGTATACAATGGGACCTCTTTCAAAAGTGAGTGTCTATATTCTAAAGTAAGTTTTTAGTAGAGGCAGCCAGCCAGAGGGGATTTGAGAATTACATGAGAGATTTGAAAGGGCTATGACAAGGCCAACAGAAAGTGCAATAAATGCAGAAGTGAAGGTGAGACTTTGTAATTGTCTCCAGCAATGGAGAGTAAATGCTTTTTATTAAGTTAATGAGATTTGCTACTGTTAGTATATTTTTATTGACTGCAAAATATATAAAGTGTTTTTAATGGCGTACATTGACATTGTCCAAGTGAAAGTCACTTAGTTGTGTCCGACTGTTTGTGACCCCATGGACTGTATAGTCCATGGAATTCTTGAGGCCAGAATACTGGAGTGGGTAGCTGTTTCCTTCTCCAGGGAATTTTTCGCAACCAGGAATCAAACCCAGTTCTCTCACATTGCAGGCAGATTATTTACAAGCTGAGCGATCAGGGAAGTCCAAGAATACTGAAGTGGGTAGCCTATCCCTTCTCCAGCAGATCCTCCCAACCCACGAATCAAGCCAGGGTCTCCTGCATTGCAGGTGGATTCTTTACCAACTGAGCTATCAGGGAAGCCCAATATTGTCAAAATAATGCCCATATTTCTCTTGTGGCTTTCCATGTAATCCAATTTCAGAAGCATTTTTTTTTTCATTCAGATACAAGTTGTGCCAGGCTTTGGCTTGTGTTTGAGATACTTATATTAAGAATGTTTTTCTGTCCTTTTGGTGTTATAACCCAGTTAGAGGAATCAGCCCTAACTAACCACCAAGCAACATCCCTCTCCCCACTCTCCCCCTCAAAAAAAAAAAAAAAAAAGTTTAAGGGAGTGAGTTTGTGTTCTCAGATTTCACATTAAACTAACCCAAGGAGCAGTACATTCAACTCAAATATACAACTCAAAATAACCAGAGTCTCAGACGATAGAACTCAGCTCTTTATATGGTTTTAAAGCTCTGTGAGTGATTATAATGCACAGAGAAGACAAATTCTCATTCAACAAAGCTGAGAACACAATCGCTACTCTTGTGGAGTAGGGTGGGGAAAGTCAGCTCTTTAAAATAAGCGAGTCTTAGATTGATTCTTGAAGTGTTGGAGCTCTTTCCCAGGTAGATTGAGGAGTCAGAATCCTAAGTCTGCTTCCACTGAAAAAAGAAAAGTGAAATGAAAGTGTTAGTCACTCAGTTCTGTTCGACTCTGCAAGGCTGTAGACTGTAGCCTGCCAGGCTCCTCTGTATATGGGATTCTCCGGGCAAGAATACTAATGTGCTTAGCCATTTCCTTCTCCAGGAGATCTTCATGACTCGGGGATTGAACTCGGGTCTCTTACATTGCAGGCATATAGTTACTGTCTGAACCACTAAGGAAGTTGATTAAAGAGTCAGGATCCTGAGCCTGCTCCCTGTGGAGCATCATATTTGAGCCATCACATGATGGACGCAGGGACAGGTTTGGGGTATGGGAGTGGACAGCTTTTCTAGAAAGTTTGAACACCATGTGCAGAGTCTAATGTGAAAGAGGAAATGTCTGTTAGAAGATGCAAAAGATGTCCATGCTTCTGAAGCACAGAGAGCAAAAGGAACCTGGTGGAAAGATAATACCATACAGAGAAACAGAGGGCTGAACACACAGGGCCCTGACAGGCACATGAAGCACACAGCTTGCTCCTCAGAGCAGGCATTGAATGCCAGGATTGGATTTTCATTTTCATAAGGTTATGTTGACTGCTGCATGAATCATAAGAGACTGAAAGTAGAGAAAGTAAAAGCTGTTAAGAAATAATTACAATACTCCACGGAATAAAAAGCGACAGCTTGCACTAGGGGGAGCCAGTAGAGATGGAGAAAATTGGCTGAATTCGAAAGTTATTAAAGAATTAAATTTGAGGACCCATCAAACATCAAGGTGAGTTAGTAGAACTGAAATCATCAACTGTTGCAAATTCAATAGCTTTCTTCTTGTCATCATGAAACCATACTGAAAATAGAGTATTTTAAAAGTATTATAGTTAAGTTATAGCATGTATGTGTATCTTACACACAACTATCTGTTGGAATTTGTATTAGAAATGTAAGCCTGTCAAGAAAAATGTCAAGTGGAAAAATAAAAGTGTATCATAAGTACTCTTTTCATAATAAAATTATTGAAAGCATTTTTAAAAGTCAAGGGTTAGTGCAGGCAGATAAGAAGAATTAGGATCTTCTAGCTGAGGGGGGCTGTGGCCAGCTCATCATATCCTGCAGGAATCACAGCTAAGACTGGGCTTGACTTATTAAAGAAAAAACTAGAACCCAAGGCCTGCCTAATTTTTACTAAACATAATGTGGCATTCTTCACACAGTTTATCTTATTTAATCCTTCTATTATCCCTTTGTGAATAGGATGACTTCACAGATGAAGAAAACATACTTAAGAAGATTTTATAGCTTATGTAAGGCCATATCATGCATAGTTATGTTTCATGCTACTGAGCTTGATTCAGATCTATCCAATAATAACCTCATATCTCAAGTGGTAGGTTTTCTTTTTTGCTTGAATACTGTGGAACAAGATTTACCTGCTGCATAAATCAAAGATAAAGATGTGTCATAAATTGGAGATGGGGCAACACCAGGCAATAAAGGGACAGGACAGTGGGATGTTCACACTGGTGACAAGGCGAATTGAGGAAGAGAATTTTTCTGGGAAACACAAACAGAATTTTTAGAGAACAGGAAAGAAAATGTTCTGAAACATCTTTGAAGGAAATGAGTAACTGGGGAGTAAATTCAATCATAGGAAGAGGAGAGAATCAGTTCAAGTTGGGACTTAAATGGCAATAAGTGTTCAGTTCAGACCCAGATGGATTCTTTTAGTTCAGACCAATGCCTTTTAGGGAGTGGTTATCAGTTTCTCATGCAAAGATCCAGTCTGAAAGTTTTGTTGCATTGGGGTGAAAGGTGTCAGGGTGTTTTTGGTCGGATCTGAAGGAAAGGTGAGGTCTTCCCCTAACCTCTAAAATAAAGCAGAGGTTTCTAGGGGAAAGCAAAAGCAAAAACAAAAACAAAACTTTCTTTAACTCCTGAGGCAGTAACTTATTTGCTATATTAACTAGAAGTGATGATTAGCGCGGAGGAAAAGGAGGAGAGAGGTGTTCAGTCCCTAATCTACCAGCTGTGAGTGGAAATAAATCATGCAGATAAATTCAGAGCGGGCTGAAGCACTGTAGCCAGACACTCTGAAGCAGCCATAGCAAAAAGTATGAGGGCAGTGGGAGGGTATATCCTTTCACAGATGTCAAAGTTCTAAAGTTAAGAGAAATCATAAATGTAGTTGCTCAGACATGTCCAACTCTTTGTGACCCCATGGACTGTAGCCCACTAGGCTTCTCTGTTCATGGGATTCTCCAGACAAGAAGACTGGAGTGGATTGCCATGCCCTCCTTCAAGGCATCTTCCTGACCCAGGAATCGAACCTGGGTGTCCTGCATTGCAGGCAGATTCTTTACCATCTAAGCTGCTAGGGAAGATTTGAAGACTGTCAGGATGAAGTAAATTGGCTTAGTAGAAGTTCACACATCTAAGGAAAACAGACTGCTCCTCTGCTCTGAAACCTCTGTTGGATACCTGGAGCCTGTACCTAAAGCTGACACTTCTCTTTCTGCTCTTGCATATTGGTCTAACTGTTATTTCTAATTTCATGATCCCTCCTTTAAAAAAAAAGTCATTTATTTATTTGGCTTCATCAAGTCTTGTGGCACATGGGCTTTTTCATTGTGGTGTGCAGGCACAGTGGCTTCCAAGTGCGGACTCCAGAGTATGCAGGCTTAGTAGTTGTGGCACACGGGCTGAGTTGCTCCATAGTATGTGGGATCTTAGTTCCTTGACTAGGGATCGAACCAGTGTCCCCTGCATTGCAAGCCGATTCTTAACCACTGGGCCACCAGGGAAGTCCCCTCATCATCACTCTTACCTGTCGTTTTCTTAGTGAACAGAGACAAACTGTTTGGATAACTATCATGGTGTAGTGATTAGAAGGGCTGACTCTGGGACTGGAATACTGGAGGATGAGAAGTAAAACAGTCACTGGGACACTTGATGGTCTGTGAGGAAGTGCAGGCTTGAAGGGACAGAGTGCATGTGGGCCTTGGGGCCAAGTTCAACCCAGGAGGAGTGAGGCATGAGAACAGGGAGATTTAGGGTGATTAGCTAGGTTTCCAGGTCTAGTGAAAAGCTTGGTGAATTAAGTTAAGCAGGTTATATTTTTGCCCTCATTAGGCAGTTGAACAGTGTTGGAAGCAGGCAGGGAATGACATAGTCAGATGGAGTTGTTTGAGAGAGAATTCTGGCCTTATTTCTACTATTATCCTTTTACGTATGAATTATGCTTCTGCTGATACTGATGTGGGAGTTTGGAGAGCATTCTGTCCATTCTATCAATGTTCTTTCATTAGTTCATTGGGAATGAATATATGATATGAGAGTGTTGCATAAAGGAATCAGATACTCCAATATGTTTGTATATGTGTTGTATAAAGTACATGAACTCTCATGTGAAAAACCAGAATTTGCATTACCTCATTTTTAATTTATTCTTTAAAGGTTTGACAGCAGCAGCTGCGGCAGCTGCCGCTGCTACCAATGCAGCTATCGCCGAAGCAATGAAGGTGAAAAAAATCAAATTAGAAGCTATGAGCAACTATCACGCCAGTAATAACCAACATGGAGCAGATTCTGAAAATGGGGACATGAATTCAAGTGTTGGTAAGTTTTCTGTTCAGTGAAACTTACTGTATTCATTTTGTTACTAAGTGACTTTCTTTTACAGAACCCAGCTATTGGCTAACCATTCAAGAAGTTGTTCCTTTTAGCTTTGAAGATAGTGTACCTTTTGAAGAAACCAATTAGCCTAACAACATGTATTCTAAATAAATAATTGAAACTTTTTAAATGTCAGAATTAACTTAAGTCTGCAACTCCTACTATAAGATTTTAGCTAACATATTTCATAATACAAATAAGTTTTATTAGTTAGAATTTTGAAATAATTGATTATACACAAGGTGACAGAAGAACATTTACAAACAAAACCACACACTACTAACTTTTAATTCATTGGTTACCAAAGAAGAAATGTGCCTTAGCAGCAAAACATAAACTTCACCTTCTCATGTGCTGGCTGCCAAGAATAAAAATTATGCTGATAATTAATTCTTTCTGTATACAACGATTGTCAATTTCTCTTATTTAAACTATGCCACTTCAACTTCTTAATTTGACCTTTTTTGTTCTTGAGGCGTGGAGAAAAGTAAGATTAATAGTCACTGTTTAAAATAAAAGGAACAACTTTATCTTTGCAGAATTCTTTTGAGTAACTTCATTTAGTCAGTCAACTTCAAGTGAGGGCTACACTTTTACTGATGATACCTTTTGTATCTCTGGTTTTGAGATACAACATTTTATCCTCACCAAATTATTTTTCTTTAAAATACAGAAATCATGCTCAAAATATAATGTAACAGGAAAAATTTAGATGCTGCAAGATGTATACAAGAGACTATATCCAGCATATATGTTCATGAGGGAGGCAGTAAGTTATGGCAGTTCAATTAGATTTTCTTTTCTAGGCTGCATTTTAACAGATTATCTCTTTAAATAATCAGTATCTGCATACTTTCAGTTCCTTGACGTATGGGTATAGGTGTAGGAAGGAATGCTGTGGACTTCATTGATAATCATTTTCACAACAGTTCATGAGATCATGTGCTAGATATGAGTAACATAGTAAGAAGTAATTTTAAAACACATACACAAAATGCCATGACTGTAGCGATGCCAAAGTGGAATGTAAAAAAAGCGGAAAAAGAGCTTTTTCATCAGAACTAGGCAAGAGAAAGAAAAGGAGCAGTGTTAATGGCGTTGATTTGAGAGCACGATGAAGAAGGTGGTAGCAATTCTTAGAAGGATGGAAAGATGTGGAAGAAAGCCAAAGACTGGCACAAAAATTGAAAAGAACTAAAGGAAACATCAGTGTTCACACTTGCGGTGCTTCTGTTAAGAAGAAAGAGGGCAGTGAATTGTTTAGGTTATAGTTTACACACTTCAATTTAAACTTTTAAAAGTTAAAAACTATTGAAGTAAAATGAAAGAATTGTAATTATCTTTTTAAAAGTATTGACTGCACACAGTTTTAACATAATGGTCTTTTACTTTGACCGATAAAATAGAGCAAAATTGGACACTTAAAAACAAGTGATGAACCATTATAAACCATATTTATAATTCCAAAACATAATTTGAATTGTTTTCAAAATTTTAGGAGAGTTAAGACTTCAGTGCAGTTTATTGTTGGTAGTTGGTGTTGTGAGGAGGGATGTTGAAGTTAGCCAGTGTAATAACACTTGAACAAAATATATTGAAACTTTATACCTCTGTCAGATTTCCTGAGTAGCAGAGCAGAAACTGGCTTTGGAGAAACCAATAGGCATAAGATAAAGAGAACATAATTAGGCATTGACATACTCTTAACATGTGATATCATGAAATGACATTTGCTTTCTGATCACCTTGTGCCTACCATAATTATTTGGATACCTCGACTATCATAATGGCTTAAACAAGAAACAATTTAAATTAGTGTTTTAGTTGGAAGAAATCACTTTTCTTCCATTAAGGTATTTGCTTGCTAGTTTATATCGCTTTTTAGTTTTGACATGCATCATCCAGTTTGAACCAAAAATGGGTATTTATTTGAATTTTCCTAGAGGGTTTTAATATTTTGAGACTGTGTTAACATTAGTGCTACCGTAGGTCCCTAAGACACATAGATCATGTGTGTTATATATCTATACCTGTTTGGGGGCAAAATGCTATCATTGTCATTTTTCTTCTATTTTCCCATACCACTATCCTTTAAGAATTTTTGATTTATTATCCTTCATACCCCTTGCGCCCTTCTTCTTTACTTGGAGATCAGGGAAACAGAGTTTGGAGCAGGGAGAGGGTAAAGCGGGAGAAGGTACAGGGCAATGGTGGGGGGTAGTTGAGTTCACATACATCATAGTAGTTGCTTTAAAACGGGCAGCAGTTTTCTCTGCTTCTGAGGACAGTGCCTGCCTCTTGGTAAGTGTCAAATAACTACTACTTATTAAACACTTCTTAACTGCTATGTGACTTTGGAAAGTTATGTGAACTTTCTGAGCCTTGCATTCCACATCTGAAAAATGGCATAAAAAATAGCATCTACATCATAAGAATTAAAGGAAAGCATATTTGTCAAGTGTTTATCATTTTATTCATTACAATGTCTGTTTATCACACTTTTGATCATGTGTAAGGTTGCTTGTGTGGGTATTGCTTTTGCTATTGTTATTCTTTCTTCCAGCTTGCCCTCCTGAAAACCACCTTCTTCCTCTTTTTACAGCCATCAACTGATTCCTCCTGTTTTCCTCTGCTCTCTGCTAGGTATTATTTGTTAAGCTTCATGCCTGTGAAGAAATTTGGGGGCATCTGTGACATCATTTGGATTTTGCTGTGTGTTTGATTTTAGCTTATTCTAGGAACTCAAAAATAATCCTAGTAGTCTCAACACTCAGGGGACATGCAGTCTAATGGGTGACGTGGTTAAGTAAGACAGTCATAACAGGATATGGTGGATCCCCAGGAACATCAGTTAGCAGGAGGCGCTTAGGAAGTGGTATTGAAGCCTAAGAATTCCAGGAGGAATCCCAAGAATCTCAGAAGCTTTATATTTCAGGATACAAATGTACTTGTTCTCATGAATCTATCAGCCCTTTGAAGTAGGAAAACCCCTCAGAGAGGTGCTACTTAAATGATGTATTGTTACTCTCAGCCCTGCCCAAATCTAGTGGCATTTCTGAAGTCAGTTCAGGTTCTTTTTTTCACTTGTACTCATCTGGCTCACAAGTTCTGTTAAATGTTTCAGGGCTCTGTATGTAGAAACTCTCTATTTTGCCCCCTCTTGGTTGTAAATAAAATCCTTGTTGCCCTAGAAAATAGATTTTTTTTTTTCTTTTGCTTGGTTTGGTTTTATTTGGCTTGGTGAGGTGAGGGATGTTTTTATTATAGATGAGTGTCTCTAGTTCTTAATATGAATTGCAAAAATTAGCCAGAAAAAAAAAAGATGTTCGAAGAAAACTGTGACACTGACAAATAATTATTTTACATCCCAACTTTACTTGGTAACCTTGAGCTCACATCTTTCCAACAGAATGATCACTTTAGGAAGAAGTGAGGACTTTAGGATAGACCCCAGTAAGGCATCAGTAGGCTGAGTAAAATATATGGCCGTGTCGCCATTCTCCCTCATCCACAATCAATTGGATTCTTTTAGTTTAATATTTACTTGCTAAGATGAGATGCTAGTCTGCATGGTGATAAACAGTCTGCTCCTGGCATCTGAAGGTGACCTGTCAGTTCATATGGACAAATCTCCTGCTTACTGAAATGTACAAAATAAATCATTAAACAGGCAGGTGCTCATTCCCAGATTTAAATCACCATAGATTTATGATTTGAATTAATGCTTCATTTGGCCATAGAAATAGATGCTGAGACAAATGATATGCACTGGTTGGGGTTTCCATACTGTAGCCATCCTGATATTGATTACTGAGATGTCTTTGCAATCTCTTGTTTATATCAAGTACTATCTTGTGACAGGTTGGCTGATATAAGCTACATTGCAGATAAGAAGGAAAAATGTCCTGGATTCTTTTTAGTGGCAACACTATCCACAACATACAGACCAGATAAATTGCTATTTTTTTGCTTTAAGGACTGATCTACATAACCATCTTAAAAAATGCTGCTTGGAAATTGGGACTGGGATATTGGAAAGGCAGAATTTAAAACTGTGAACCCAAGGTCAATTTCATAGTCTCTGTGGCTGTGTTTTATCTACTTATCTTTTTTTTTGGCATCATGCACATTTTTGAGGATACTAAATTAATCACAATCGATTTAATCTAAATAAAGGAAACTTAATTTAACTTCTAGTTTTTAAATGCTATATAAATATTGACATAGTAAGCATCTCTTAATAGTTTCTCTGTTATTTACATACTTGCTAAACCTAATATCTTACTCCCTTAACTAATGACAACAAAGGAAACGACTCTTTTAAATATAAATACATTAAATATTATTTCCAAGTACAAGCGTTTGTGGACTATAATTTAGCAAGAGACAGGAAAAGACTGCATTTTTACTTCTCTTAACATTTTATTTAAGGAAAACACTATGTACACAGTTTAAAGAATACAGGAGGATTTAAGAGGGACCTTTGCCACCAGCTAATATCTGACTCATAGAACTGGTAAACAGCTATCAACAATAGTAGATTGCTTGCTTCGTAGGAAATGAGTTCATATCTATTCAAAATGTGATCTCAAAACAGATGTCCCAAGAAAATCTTATTGTTTAAACTATAGTCATAACCCCAAACTGCTGTTATTTCTTTGAGGAAGTGAAGTAATCTTAAGACTTCAGAGTTTGTCCTCTGCACACCATGGAAAGTAGACAAGAATACCCTAATGCAGTGATCCACAAACTGAACACATTTCATATGCCTGAAATGTAGGATTTGTTCGCATTTTCCAAATTTGCAATAGTTAAAAGGATATAGGAGTTTCAAGTAAAAACAAGAATTTGAGTTTGGGATTAAACAGCTGTGTTCTTCAATGGCATTCCTTACTTCTTACCTCTGTCCACCAACCGACAAAGAAAACAATGATGAAAAAAAA